GGATGGTAGAAGTGAAGGCAGATTGAGGGAAGCTATGGTCAGAAGGAAAACACTGGTGAGGAGGGAAAGGGAGAGAGGAGAGAGAAAAGCATAAATGGGGTTGGGGAAATTGGATGGAGAGAAAGACACAATTAATAATCCTAAGTGTGAATGTGAATAAGATGAACTCTCCCATAAAAGAAAAGCAGATAGCAAAGTGTATTAAAAACCATGAACTACAATGTGCTGTTTACAAGAATCCCATTTGAGAGATCCACACAGAGTAATGGTAAAAGGCTTAATTAACCATATTAATAATGGCATTAACAGAAATCATATGATTATCTCAATAGATGCAGAAAAAGCTTTTGACAGAATACAGCGGCCATTCCTGTTAAAATCACTAGAGAGCATAGGAACACACGGAGTTTTTCTTAAAATGATAAATAGCATCTATCTAACACCATCAGCAAGCATTATAAGTAATGGGGATAAGCTAGAAGCATTTCTAATAAGATCATGGGTACAACAAGGTTGTCCATTTATCACCGCTGTTATTTAATATTGTACTAGAAATATTAGCTTTAGCTATAAGAGAAGAAAAAGAAATGGAAGGAATTAGAATACTCAATGAAGACACAAAGCTATTACTCTTTGCACATGATATCATGGTACACTTAGAGAATCCTAGAGAATCAACTAAAAACTACTCAAAATGATTCACAACTTTAGCAAAGTTGCAGCATATAAAATAAACCCACATAAAACATTGCCATATCTATTACTAAAAAAGCCCTGCAGCAAGAGAGACAGAGAAATTCCATTTAAGGTAACTGTAGGCCATATTAAATATTTGGGAGTCTACCTGCCAAGACAAACCCAGGAAGTTGATGAACACAATTACAAAACACTTTTCACACAAATACAGAAGGGGGTTCAGACATTCCTTGGTGAGGTTAGGGAGTTAAGGGCGAGCTTTCTCAGTCCACTGCTTCCTTGGTTGCAAACCATCAGAGTTCTGTCCTCCTTTAAGAAACAAAACTTCAACTGAAATGAGTGAAGGAAATGTTTATTTACAGTTCTTGCAAGAAGCAGGTGCATGGGTACCCAGAGGGACACAGACACACACACACACACACACACACACACACACACACACACACACACACAGAAATGCACACACAGTGACAGAAGCTGGAGCAAGCCTTTTATGCAGTTAGTTTTCTTGCCCCTCCCTTCAGAGCCAGGATTGCTGGCTCTGCTCTTCTGGGTTCCAATCTTCCTGATACTCCCACTTCACAACATGTCCTCCCTCCTGTTAACATAGGAAATTTGCCTAGTTTTGTGCTACTGCTCCCCTCTAGGCAGAGAGGTTTAGTATCAATGAATGCATTATGCATGCACACTCTAAGTAAAGCTTAACCTTTGTCCTACTTCCAGCCTCTTTAACCAAACAACCAGTTTCATCCACTTTTAGCTGGTTCTAGAACCTCTCACCTAGAGCTACCTTTTCTCTCAATTTCCTCATATGGAAATATAATCATTTCTTACCTCTCTCATAATCAGGTCTAAATAATTGGAAAAATATCAGGTCATGGGTAGGCTGAGATAATCTAATAAAAATAACAATTCTTCCAAAATTAATTTATCCCATGCCATACCAATCAGACTACCAATTATCATTTTATAGAGCTAGAAAACATAATAACAAAATTCATCAGGAGGAACAAAAAGTCTAGAACATCAAGAGCATTAATGAAAAGAAATGCAATGGAACGTGGCCTATCCATATCAGGTGTTTGAAAGGTCAACATTCTACTGGCATAGCAGCACAACCATTTAATATGACACAGGATCCTTCTATGGACTGATCTGGGATTTGCATTTTCCTCTTTTATTGGATACAATACAAAACTTGATCTCTTTTATCTGTTAGAAAAAGCAGAGTATATCATATACTTCTTCTTACAAGTCACTATATCATTTTTCAGACTACTTTGGAAAAAAGTAAGAGACATATAGCCATCAAAATCACAGCTGTGTGATCTGGTCTCCAAGCAGCTTCCTGGTTTATAGTTCTTATAACATATATACACACACACATTTATAAATATATACACAATGCATATATGCATGTATGCATATGTACATGTATATATAGCATAAACCTATATATATTTATGCATATATATTGATATGTGGGTCCACATATATATACATACACACACACATATGTATATATATATACATATATATATATATATACACACACACATACACATACACATACACACAGTGACACACATATCCATACATACATCATAGATACATCTTTCTCTCTCTCTCTCTCTCTGTATATATACTATCCCTTCTTAATTGTAGTCTTCTGTGGTGGTGGTGTAATGCAGAACATTATTTTGCCATTTAGGTAGTAGAACCCTTTAGGCCATGGAAAACAGAAGTTGCTGCTTAATCTTGCCCTAGACCTCTTTCCTCCTGAATCTAAACAATAGTGAAATGTACTCTTGTGTAGCTTAAGCACAGCCCATACCTCCAACGCAAATGGATAAGAAAACATGCAATACAATGGCTTTAGATAATTATGTTTATACCAGAAACCAGGACACCTGGTCTGGTTTGTGTGATTCCTGACCTGTGCTGATGGGGTGCTCAGATGCTTGTGCTTATACTTTTGCCCCAAAAATGCCTCCCTAGTCTCAGAAACACTATCTCTAACAACCACTTCCCAGCCCAGGGACACTGTACCTAGCAGTATTCATGCATGGGCCTCAGAAAGACCCTTATCTAGCTGCTCAGGCCCCAGCCCTCAGATCATATCTCTGGAAAACTCCAAATTCCTTTAGCAAGACCCTTATCTGACTGCTCAGGTCACAGCCCCCAGATCATATCTCTGGAAGCCTCCATTGTGAGAAAGTTTGCAGAGCATTATCATATCTAGACAGAGGGAGAGGGGTGTCCTTCACCAGCCCAAAACAACTCTTCCTCTTGCCAGACTTCAAAGATCCATCCCCCTCCCTGTCCTGTATACTCCCTATATAAACCCTAGCTCGACCCCTCATAGGGGCTTCTTGATTTGGATGTGAATACCCCTGGCAGCTGCGCACTAATATAATAAGGTCCACAATTTAAAATTAGCCTGGGTCTAACTCGCTAAATTTCTGGGTATAACAGTGGATGGGGAGGAAGAGGGAAAAAAAGGTCAAAATGAAAAGTGCACAGCAGAGAAGAAAAGGAAACTTATAAGAAAGCAAAGAAAAGATGGCAGCTCCCAACAGAATGGGTAGCATTTATTATATATACTTTCTTCAAACAGAAATTTATTGCTGTTTTTGTGAATCCTTTCTCACTTTCTGCTGTGCAAATGACAATTTTTTTCTTATTTTGTTTGTTTCTTTTTCTTATTTTGTTTTCAAATTTAATGTTAAAAAATATCACAAATGAAAATAAATGAATAGTCACAATACTGTATCAGAGACATTCTACTTCAAAGGCTCCAAAAGCTCTTCACTTATTATTTAGTACTCAGTTTATAGCACTACTTTCTGGGGATAGGACTAAACCTGCCATAAAAGACAGCTGAGTTATATTGGGACTTTTCAGATACCTTCAATATATTTTAGTGGCCATAATACTTCACATCCGGGCTTTTTTCTCAGAAGCAAAATCAGTGAAACTCTCATTAAGAAAAGTTTGCCTTCGGAGCACAAAAAGTTCATAAAAAAGAAAAATTAAAGAGTATCCTCAAAGAATCCATCACCATATACAGGGTGAGACCTCAGAAGAGTCAGAATAGGAAGGTCCCTATGTGATGTATAATCTTGGGAAAATGTTACAAATTTTGAGCCTCAGTTTCCTTAGCCAAAAACTAGGAAGTAATAATTGCTTCTCTTTGTACCTCACAGCAGTATGAGGAGGATCAAATTAGACAAGATGATAACACCTCTGAAGGGATACTGAGAACAGCAAAAGATTAAACTGTCTGAAGATATTATTATTATTAAGTCATCAGTGTTTGAGGGACAGGCACCAAAAGACCTAAAATGTCTCAATCTATTACCCCACTCTGACCCTTCACTCACTATGTAGTGCAAGAATCATCTCTACTGGATTCATCTTGCAAATTCCTTATGCTGAGAACAGTATTACATTAGTAGTCATTAGGATAATAGAATAAATTGGTCTAGCATTGCTCTGGCATATAGTAGGGATGTGTTAGAACCTTTGGGCCTGAGCAAGGCTTTGATCGAAGGTTGGAGGAGAGATGATTTGGAGAGGGTAGGACAAAGTGGGGTCTGACAATGAGGTAGTGGGGTGCTGGCTACCCCTGTGGAGAACGCTGAAAAGGAAAGTAGAGGACACCAAAAACAAACATTGCTTCATTACAGCCAAATTTCCTAGGGATACCTGGCCTGTTTAATGCACTCTTTTGTTCTCTTCAAGGTCTGTACCGTTGAAGGAGCACAAATTTAAATGCTTTACCATTTTACCTGAATCAGGGATAGTCACGTTGAGGAACCCTCAGAGCAAAGACTCTTTCTTGGAACTATCCCAAGGAGGCCAGAACAAAGTCCTCTCCAGTTGGAACAATCCTATACTGTAAGAAGCATGAGTACTGATACACGGATGTATTTTAAATAGGGAGGGGCCCATACTTAGTTGTGAAGGAGGTAAAGTTTGTCTTCAGGAACCATCTTCTTTTTGCCCTTTCCCTCCACCTACATTTCTTTGTCACCTTCCTTCCTCTTGAAGGAGATGCCCAGTGGCTCTCTACCACCTAAGGGACTGTCATTAAACTTCACATCCAAGTCTTCCCTCCTAGACAAAATCCCAGTTTAGATTACATTATCCCTACATTGTATTATACATTTGTCCCTTCTCATTCAGCAAATTTTGCATAACTGGCAAGATTTTGGGCTCAGGAACTGCTTAATTAGAACAAAGATGTCAATGACTGATGTTATTGCTTTCAGATATCACTTGTTTTAACTGTCAAAGCCTACCCTCACTTACTGGGCACCTTCGATTCCGGCTGGAAATTCTGAGGGTTTCCCACTGCAGCTGGGGCCACCTCCAGCGGTGCTGACCTGTCTCTTGCCCTGGACTCTGACAACTCTGGAGCAGAGAGTGGAGCTGAAGACTTTGCACAGTTCTGTCTCACTTGAATCTAATTCACTCACAAGTCAAGATATCACACTCCTGTTGTCACTGGTTCTCTCTGAGAATGAAATATGAACGACAATCAATGCCTATAACTCGTGTATAGGTTAAAGTAATAATCTAATATATATAAGATTCATATATCATAGTATTTATATTTGTTTATATAGATGTACAGTATATATGTATATATGTAAATATATTTGTTACATATATAAATATATTTCTTACATAAGATTTTATTTACATATATATTTATATAATTATATATATTTATGTATATATGTAAATATATTTGTTACATATATAAATATATTTGTTACATAAGATTTTATTTCCATATATATTGATATAATTATATATATTTATGTACATGTGTATATAAGCACAACTTACTGCAACAGTTACAATCTAAACATTGTGTTTTGATGATCTTTTTAGAAATAAAGCCCACCTTCTTGGATCCTAGCAGCACAGGTAGTTAGTTCAACTGTGAAGTTAAGTCAAGCAGCATTTATGAAGCGCCCATTGAAGCAATTTCCTCTCCACACCATAGGTAGCACTTTAAAAGGGCAGGCGACACACTCCATACTGACCATGCTGGGGAAAGACAAGAAGACTCTTCATCTAAGACAATGACAATAATGGCACAACACATCAAAATTAGGAGATGCAGTAAAAGCAGTCCTTGGGGGGAAGTTTTATATCTCTCAATTCTTATATGAAGAAAATAAAGAAGGAAGGGATCAAACAATTGGACATGCAACTAAAAGAGCTATAAAAACAACAAATTGGAAATACCAAATTAGAAATTCTGAAAACTAAAGGAGAGATTAATTACATTGAAATTGAGAAAACAATTGAACTAATAAATAAAACTAAGTGCTGGTTTTATGAAAAAAAAAGCAATAAAATAGATAAACCTTTGGTTAATTTGATTTTAAAAAAGAAGAAAACCAAATTACCAGTATCAAAAATTAGAAGGATGAATTCACCACTAATGAAGGGGAAATTAAAACAATGATTAGGAGATATTTTGATCCATGGTATGCCAAGAAATCTGACAATCTAAGTGAAATGGATGGATATTTACAAAAATATCAATTGCCCAAATAAGTGGAAGTAAAATATCCAAATAACCCATTTTCAGGAAAAGAAATGGAACAAGCCATCCATGAATTCCCTAAGAAAATGTCTCCCAGTCAAATGGATTTCCAAGTGAATTCTACCAAACATTTAATAACAATTAATTCCAATACTATAGAAACTATTTGGAAAAATAGGCAAAGAAAAAGTCATGTCAAATTCTTTTTATGATGCAAATATGGTACCTAGACCTAAACCAGGGAGAGTCAAAATAGAGAAAGAAAATTATAGACCAATTTCCCTAATGAATAGAATGCAATAATGTAAAATTAGATATTTGCCAAGAGATTATATCAACTTATGGCAAGGATAATACACTATGTCCAGGTGGGATTTACATCAGGAATACAGGACTGCTTGAATATTAGAAAACTATCAATATCATTAACCATGTCAGTAACAAAATTAACAGAAATTAACAGACTTTGGGTCACTTGTGGCATACTAAAGGTTTTCAAGTGGCCCAAGAAAAAAGTAGAGGAAAACATCCTTTGTATGTGGGGGGGAAATTCTTTGGCATGCCCCAAATACTCCAAGGGCTGTAAACAGCCATGGGTAGGACGTTGTGCAGGCCTGATTTTAAACATCACTTTAGAATAATTTTCACGTTTTGAATTCTCTCCCTCCCTTTAACCTGTCCTCCACTACTGAGAAGGTAAGCAATTGAATGCCAAGTATACATATGAAATCACACAAAACATTTACCAGGTTGCAAACAATAAAAATATAAAAGAAAGAAAAAGAAAGTGAAAAAAAGTATGCTTCAATCTGTTCTTGGAGTACATCAGTTCTCTCTCTGGAGGGAGATAGCCTTTTTGATAAGTCCTTTGGAATTGTCATGAAACATTTTATTGACTAGAGGAGCTAAATCTTTCACAGTTGATCATTACTACAACATTGCTGTTAATGTCTACCGTGACCTTCTGGTTTTGCTCACTTTACTTTGCATCAGTTCATATAGGTTTTCCCAAGTTTTTCTGAAACTATCCCCCATACACCATGGACTTGTTCAGCCACTCCCCAATTGATGGGCATCCCCTTAATTTCTAATCTTTGCTCCCACAAAAATAACTGCTATAAATATTTTTGTACATACAGGTCCTTTCCCTTTTGATGAAGGATCTTTTAGTACATTAATAAGGTATCTTTGATTAATTACCGCATTAAGCTGAAACCTTGATTAAATCTAGAATCTGGGATACCTTCAAGAGCATTCACAACCATTACTGTACAGCCCTAAATGAGTAACTATCATTCAATGTTAATTCTTTGAGTATTTCTGAAGCCATTTGGAAAATATCTCTTTCTACTAATACTCAGCTGGCAAGTCAGCTGGAAAGAAGGCTGTCAGATCCAAAGTAGTATTACACTTTACAGGAGATTAATTCAAACTGAGAAAACTAGTTTTTAACTCGTTCTCCATCCTATCTCCTCACCCTTCTGCTCCACCAGCAAAAAAAAAAAAAAAGGGCAAACCCTCTCTGGAATATTTTTATTTTTCTTTTATTTTTCTTTTTTCATTTACACCAAAGATCTTAACCTTGGGCCCGTGGTCCCCCAAGAATTGATTTCACAGGGTCTCTGAACTTGAAAGGAAAATAAAATTACATCTTTATTTTCACTAACCTCTAAATGAAATTTAGCATTTCTTTGTAGAAAATTAGTACTTGTGAATTTGTCCTCAATCTTCAGGTCCAGGATGCCTCTGGCTGGGGAGCCCCATATTTCCCTCATGACCATGGGGTTTTCTTTTGATACCAAAGGAAGAGGCCAAGTATTTCCAGATTGACAATAGGTAGTAGTTTATTCAATCATTATGAATACTTACAAACAGGGGCAATCTTCAGTTTGGGTGGTGGCCAGCACTTCAGTGGATCCCTGCCAAGAACTTCAAAAATCCCAGTGGTAATTATAGAAAACAGACAAAGGGAGGAGGAGCTGGAGAGTGCATCACTACAGATTGGTGGTTATTTTTGGTTTTTCCCTTAGTAATGAGCTTGGGAATTGAGCCAATGTTATGCCCAAACATAAGTTTCAGTGTAGGGGTCTAGGTCCTATAAGGCCATCATTTTCCCTTCAAACAAATGGGACCCAAATCTTTTGGGGTAAGGGGTGAAGGTCTTAGCTTCTGAAACTGCTTCCTGCTGGCCATGGGCATAGAGCTGTCCCTGCCTCACTGGGTCCTTTTCCAGGAGTCAGACTTCGGAACAGGGCTGATGCTAAGTCCAGGGTCTTAGGGGCCTTTGATTAGTTCCAAGGTTGGTATGCAGCCTGAGCAGTCATCTGGAAATTGGTGACCTGGACCCTGGGGGAGACAAATCTGGCCAGGAGGTTCAATATATGAGGCCCAAATACAAGGAGAATTAAAAGTGATGTCAGAATGGGAGAAAACAAAGTACCTCCCTCTAAGAAGATGGATTGTACTGAAATTCTTTTTCCCAAACTGAACTGAAGATATTTCTGATTAATTTTAGTCTTTCATAGCAATGTGTATTCCAGTTTTAGTCTATAGGGTTATGATTCACATGACGACACAGGCAGTGAGATGACAAGCCCGAGTACTAATTTACCCAGTTGTTTGGGATATAGAATGACTACACATTCAAGTCCAAACAGCAAGATCTCACATACTTGCATTGTGCTCCTATCTTTTACTGTCCATTTGCTCTGATTAGAGAAATTTGCAATAAAAGGATGAAACCGGGACATGTCTATACCAAATATGACAGGATAAAATATCCTTAACTCTGTTTGAATTCAGATAATTCACAGTTTTCCAACCATGCAGTATCAATTCCACCTCATAGCCAGAATCAGGAATAGCCAGGTGGGAAACATTCCTTTTCAAAGGACCACAGTGGGGAAAGTGAGCTAGGAGGATCCCACCTTAGACTGAGGCTAAGATTGTCCTCTCAGCTTTTCCAGATGCAGACCTCCACTTGTATCACATTGTCTCTGGGTAGCTTCTGGGCATTTCTCTCAGATGGTGGATTATTGACTATTGATTATCGATGGATTATTATGATCCCTCAGACTACTCAAAGTAACATCATTACAGTCCCAAGAGCTTTTACCTCAAACAGCAAGTTTCACTAATCACAGCTTGGGAAAAATTTACCAGGGTTTACATTTCAAATTTCAATTTGTATATAATTGGTATAAAAGCCAATTGTTAGAGGTCACTTACAGAAACTTGCAAATTCTCAGCAAGCCAAGTTTATTGTTTAAGAATTCCATCATCCAAACAACCTCCTTGGCAAGTTTACAAAATAAAGGGGATCAACAGGGACCCCAGAGCAGGGGCTGCCTATCACCCCGATCTCCCCTTAGAGCTGCTCTGGGCTGTGCTTTTTCACTAGTCCTGAGGACTGCTCTGAATGGGCAGAACCAATCTGGATAAGGCTTTCACCTCATCCCCTCCTTTCCACACACATACTGAGTAGTCAATGACCAATTTTACATTTTAGCAGTAAAAACAATACCAAATACTTAGTTTTCTAAATGTCCATTAGAAAATGTTATAAGACAGGGTTAGGAGGGAAATAACTTTTCCACTGTTTTTTTAGGTGCTCTCATTTCATACTCTAATAACATCCAAGTTAGGAAAAGTGGCTTGAGAAAGCTGATGCAAAAGTTTACCAGTTTGAGACCTGAAACAAGCCCATTATCAATCAGGTGATTTCAATCTTGTTGAATGAATTTGCAATTTACTTTACACAGAAAATCGATGTCTCATAATGAACATGTTGAAACCACAACTTTAAACGAGTGGGCTTACCAAGTGCAGAGGCTGGCTGGCTTCTTACCTCTTAGTGCCTTCATCCATTCCCCTTCCCCTTCCCTCTGTCCCCAGGGCAGCTCATGTTGCTTGTAGCTTCTGGGGTGGCAGGAAGGTGAGCAAGATTGATGAACACGGGTGATACTTCCATGCTTTCTTGGTGGGCTACAGGGTGCCGAGGGGCCCAGAGCCATTGCCAGTGGGGCCCCCAGCTGTAGTTGTTGCCGTTCCTCCCTCCTTACTTTCACCAACTGGGGGAGGATGAATTCAAAGGTCACGGAGGGTGACTCAAATTCCCTACCATTCGCAAGGACTCTCTTCTCTTAGTCTGATCATATTCCTTTTGAAGGTCTTGGGGACCAAGTTTTTCCAGTTTTATAGAAGATAACCTAGGGGCAAATGTTGAGGAAGTACCACTGAGTCTGGCAGCCGAGGCTGAGGATCCAGAGGCCATGAGGCCAGAAGAGAAGGGGGATCCTGCAGGCCCGGGCATAGGGACTGGGAGTCTCTCTGTGAAGGAGGATCCCAGGGTGTGGAGGGAAATTGGTCCATTTTGTTACCTGCAAGCCTCATGAAACCAAAAGCACCTACAGTTTCTCAATATTCTAGCATCCAAAAGAAATAGGATAATTGGGCATACGTTTCCTGATAGGATGTTCCCTATGCAGCAGAAAGT